TCCTTGGGTCTTGCCCCCCTCCCCGAGGCTATTCCGTCATATTGCTACACTTTAAAGATTCCAAGACAACGCAGAGCGTTCACCTTGGCGAGGCTCAACTCCTTCCCCTCTAAGGTGCTCTCTGGTCGTTTCTTGGGACTTCCGTTTTTGGAACTACGTACTTGCTCTGGTCTATCCTTGCTTGCCCCCCTCCCCGAGGCTATTCCGTCATATTGCTACACTTTAAAGATTCCAAGACAACGCAGAGCGTTCACCTTGGCGAGGCTCAACTCCTTCCCCTCTAAGGTGCTCTCTGGTCGTTTCTTGGGACTTCCGTTTTTGGAACGTGTCTGCGATTGTGGACAAGAGATGATAGAAACTATGGATCATATAATGCTTTTCTGTCCTAAGTGGAATAAGAAAAGAGAGAGATACATCATTCCCGTTATGAGAAAAGAAAAGCTTCCTCTCCTTCCTTGGGTAGTTTCAGTGCTTTTGTCTGATAACTTCCCTGACAATCAAACCACGGCTATAGTGGCTTCCTTTCTAGCTGCGGTGATTAAGAAAACAAATCTCCCTGAGTTTAATTAGTTTATTGCTGATAACTGTCGACCTATATACAAATTTGATAATTTTAAGTGTGTGCTGGTTTTTGTTGTTGTTGTTTTCTGCTTTTTTAAAAATTCTGTACAGTTGCTATGTCTTTCTTGCTAATGCAATAAATATTATTATTATTATTATAACAACTAACCACAATTTTTGTTTACTAGATTATATGTAGAAAGCGATGTTTGTAGTCATGACCTTACAGGGAAAATGGAACCAAATTCTATAAAGTTTTAATGACTGGTTGCCTGGAGATTGTGTTCACTCTCCATAGGTGACTGGGTGAATGTCCGTTTACAGGCCTGTGTGAAGGGGTGATATTTGCTGATATATATTGCATTCTAAAACTTAATGAGTGTTACAATGCAATATATAATGACAAATATGAGAAGTCTAAGAGGGAATTTTCTAGGTGGTTAGCCATGTTGGTCTGAAGCAGCAGAACAAATTTAGAGTCCAGTGACACCTTTAAGACCAACAAAGGTTTATTCAAGGTTCTGTGAATCTGTTAATCAGCTTAATATTTGTAATGTGTCTAAAGTAAGGTGTTTTAGATGTGTGCATCTTTCAGATCCAACAGCAAAAGATACTTGACATAATATTGATTTGAAGCCATGGTTTATTTATCCAAAGTACACACACTAAATTATGGTTTTGGTGAATGAAATTCTCTTCAAGTTCTTTTTTTTGTTGGAGCTTTCAGGACAAAGGCTCCCTTGGACCTGGCATGTTGAGTATGTTTCTTCTCTCAGACCTTCTTCCGGGATCTGTATGAGATGATGTTCCCTGTTCCTGAAACCTCTCCTTCACATCTCTCCTCATTTCTCAGGCCTGACCTTCCCAACCTTGTTATTCCTCCTGGTTGGCAGGCTCCTTCATCCTCCAGCACTATATTTACAGCCTGCCTATGTCACTCATGACAAACATTTCCCAGCTCTGGGTTGGGAAATTGCTGGAGAGTTGATGGTAAAGCCTGAGAGTATGGGGTTTAGGGGGAGGGGAGGTGTACATTCCTTTCTAGAAACCGTTCACTTCCCCACTCCTGAGCCCTGACCTTCTCAGCCTTCTTATTCCCCTTGGTCAGCAGGGTCCTTCACCATCTCCCCCTCCTCCACTACCTGAATGCCTGCATACCTTCCCATCCCAACTTGGGTTTCCTTCCTTAATTTTGGCATGAGGGTTTCCTTCTCCTTATCTGTCGTCCCTTCCCCAACCTGTCCTTGGATCTTCTGGTCTCTCTTTGTGAACATTTGTGTGCCTTCACTTTCCCCTGGCATGGTTTTTCCTGCAGTCATCTTATGGGAGGAAAACATTCGTGGGTAACTAAAGTAAACTGAACATTAGGACCTTGTGATTGATCACTGTAACTATATTTTGACTGTCTTGGGTAAATTGCTGCTGCTACAGTGTTTTGAACTGGCCTTTCAAGAACTGCCTCTGCATTTAAAGTTGTATTTGATATCTAGTCTCTCTCTCTACGTCTGTTCTGTAACTTTGGTTAGATGAAAAGAAAAATAGGTTACACTCCTGCCTTTCTCTTTTTCTACCTTTCATTGCTTCTCAGCCTTTTGGCTAAGATCAAAAGTAGTATCTGTTCTTAGCAGTTTAATATCTGATATGTCCTCTATTTGAGAACTATGATAACTATCAAGCTTAAGCTGTGACAGCAGCTAAAGATCTGGGATTTGCCAGACACTTGTATATATTCTGAGTCTTCTTTCTGGTAACGAAGGGGCATTCATTCAGTAGCAGAACATGAAGAAGGTTCCAGATTCAATCCTTGGTATCTCCTGTCACAGGAATAAATGAGACTTCTAGATGAGACTGGAGGAGGGGTGTCCAAACTGTGGCTCGGGATCCATTTGCGGCTCTTTCACACATATTGTGCAGCTTCCGGCAGGGCGGTTGGGGAAGCTAAATATCATTAGCAAACAAATTATCATTGGACAAATAAATATCATTATCAATATCTGCTTTTACCACTTTTGTTATTATTTTTGGCAGTCTCGTTTAATGTTAATAAAAAGCAAATTTGCATATTTCCCAGTAAAAACATGTAGTATTTGTTCATGTCTTGCGGCTGTCAAACGTCTGATGTTTATTCTGTGTGGCTCTTATGTAAGCAAGCTTGGCCACCCCTGCTCTGGAGGTTGGCTGCCCATTGGAGTAGACAGTTCTGACCTTGAAGGACTAATGGTCTGACTCAGTAGAAGGTGGCTTCATGTGTATTCTGGTTTGCTGTCTGCTTTGAAATAATTGTTTGATGATTTCAGATATAACAACAAATCATTGTTTGCACAAACTGGCTAGGAAACCAATATTTATCATTTCGTCTGAAACTATAGGCGACTTCAGATATGCAGGGGCTTCATAAAAACTACATTGAAGCAAATACTTGAATTGGAATTGTATTTTGCTAAATTACTATACGCTATGGCCTGGCGTGATGTGGTCCATGGGGTCGTGAAGAGTCAGACTCGACTGTGTGACTGAACAACAACAACAAAATTTTTGTTCAAATCTATGTAGCAGTTGATAATGGAGTTTAAAATTTGTCTTTTGGATTTTTATTTAATAGGCATATTATTTTGTTTTGCATATTGTTAATACTTACTGCATTTTGTAATGATCAGAGTTTTGGTTAACAATAAAACTTTGATTCTGAGTTCTGAAATATAAACCATTAATGCTTTGGCAGAATAAAACAGATTTCAGATAGTGTTGTTGGGCAATATTGCATTATGATACTAGGAATTAACAGCTACAGAAGCAGTAAAAGTGTTTTTCTGAATCTGTGCCTTTTGTGGGTTGAACATAGCTGGATTTTAATGGACTATAGGAACTGTAGGAGCCGAGGAACATTGTAAACACTGCCCAAGTGTGCTACTGAGTTAGGAGGACAGAGTTATCCTCCTCAAAGTTCTAGAGGAACTCTTGAACAGGGAATGCCTAGTCTAGGGGTAGGCAAACTTTTTGTCCAAAATGCCCCTGTTTTTAATTGCGAAGATGTTGATGAGCTGGCAGACTTCTTTTGGGGATGTTCTCAGTGCTTTGGGGGCTCAACTTGAGTAGAGAGCTAGCCCCGTGTACCAGTATGCCAGTGATCTGATATACTGCTGTTTGGCATATTTGCCAGGGGTTTCCTATCCCTAGCCTAGAGTCCATTCTTTCACAGTTGGGTACATATCTCATGGCACCAGCATGTTCTCCCAAACTTCCAGATAGGACTGCAATGTATTTTATTGCCACAGCAAGTGAGAGTGAGATGTGGGAACCTGGAACGTAGTGCTGAATTTGAAATGTGGTCTTAAAATGCTTCATCTTGTTATTGATTTTTTTGGGTTGTTGACCAAAACCTCAATTGTACATAGTGGGGCTTACTTCTGAGTAGTCATGCATAGGGTTGCACTTATTGCACATTGTCAAACCTCACAATGCTTTGCTTGCTTTGGTTGCCATTGTTGCTGGGGGGAGGGAATTCCTTAGGGGAGGGGGGTGGTGTGATTAAGTGAGAGAATGAGACCTTTGCTTCTAGAAGACACAACTTTCCAAGTCATCCTCCTTCTCTCCTCTTTCCTTTCCCAAGAAAAGGTGTCCTTGAGAAGCTCTCTGTACCAACCTCAAATGCAGATAAAGGTAAAGGTTCCCTTGCTCGAAAGCCAGTCGAGTCCGACTCTAGGGTTGCGGTGCTCATCTCCGTTTCAAAGCCGAAGAGCCAGCACTGTCTGAAGACGTTTCCGTGGTCATGTGGCCGGCATGACTAAACACCAAGGTGCACGGAACGCTGTTACCTTCCCACCAAAGTGGTACCTATTTATCTACTTGCAATTTCTTGCTTTCGAACTGCTAGGTTGGCAGGAGCTGGAACTAGAGACGGGAGCTCACTCCGTCATGCGGCACACTCGGGTCTTGAACTGCTGAACTACTGACTTTCCACAGCCTGCAGTTCAGCGTCTTAACCACTTGAGCCACCGCAGCTCCAAATGCAGATAACCAAGACATATATCTTTCACTTGGCTGGGATGGCAATGTTAGACGTGGTATAAATGTGATGTGTGCTTGGGGAAGGGGCTTTTCTTTGAATCTACTATATTAAGCTTGTGCCTGCCAAAAGTCTTTAGTTCTGGCACAGTGACTTTCTGGATCTCGCATATACCTGAATAAACTTATCACTGCTAAGAGAGAGTTGTTGAGTATAACTGGACCGGGGTCTGACGCACATATAAATTGTTAAGATCTCTGTCACTAATAACTATTTTGTATAGTTTTGTATGATAATATATTAATATATATTCTTGAGGTTCACCTCATGCTTTAGCTTCATTTTCAAAAGAAAGCAATATGTTTTGTCTTTGAGAGTTCAGTGCATCCTAGCACTTAACCCCCATTTGATTGTCTATTATATTTTTCTGCAGCTTGTCTTGGAAAATACACAGCTGAAGTGCCACTGCTCTTGAATAATGACACATCTGTATACAGAGTAGTCTCTTTATCAGGGTGTGTGAAGTCACCCAAGATCAACTTTGACCCTCAGATTTTGATACTGACTCCTGTTCCTCTCAATATAAAAACAGGAGCTGATGTCCGCATAATTCCTCAGGGCTATTTAAGGTAAATCTTCAGTTACTGTTTCAATAAAGTGTTGTTTATTTCATTTTTCTTTGGAAGGTTTTCTGTATTATACTTGTTAATTGGATTAGTAAGTTAATGTACAAGGGAAGAAATACAATTCTTCACAGATGAGATTATTATTTTGTACCTTTTCCAAGGTTTTGTGTCTAACAAAGCAACTACAAAACAAAAACAAAGAAAAACCACAGTTATATAATGGTACCACAAGTTCTGTTAGTTTTAGTTGGTTATGTAGATCTACCTAAATCATGTAGGCTTTACTACCTCTTCTAAAAATTGTTATTTGGCACAAGACTGGGATTTTGGTTTGTTCTTTATATCAATGGTCCACCTATCTTGTTGAACCACTAGGCACTTTTGGAATTTTAAAAATGAGGAGTGTGTACTGCCAGAAAATGGCTGCTATGGGGGTGGGGACCAATTGCAAAATGGCTGTCACAGAGCACTGGGGCCAGTCACAAAATGTTGGGAGGTTGCATTCCAATAATTTCCTTTTCTTGGAAGTACCTACTTCTGAATAGGTGTTCCCACTAGACACAAAGATTATACCTCCTGGTTACTTCTGAAGCACCTCCTACTCCAGTGAGGTAGAGGAAAATCAGGAATCTCTCCTTATATATAAAAGAGTTTTGGTGTGATTCCTGGACACGCTTCCACAGCCTTTTGCCCGCTCAGCTGCTCGTCTTGCGGACTCCCAATCCCCTGGCTACATTGCCTCGCTGCGTTGGCTCAGCCCCGCCCACTGAGCTGGCAGCCAGCAGTTCGCTCTCAGTCTGGAGGGAGCCGGTGAAGGGCATGGATGCTCTGCTGAGGGAGCAGCAACCCCTCCACAGGAGAGAAGGAGGCAGACCTAGCGAGCAGCAGCAAGCAGGGGAAGCACTCATCTTCACTGCCCCTCGCGGCCCGTTTCCCTTGGCCCCTAGGCCGGCACTTTATCAGGGAAATAGCTCAGTGGCTGCACCTCAGAGAAAGCTGCCCAGCGCCTTTAAACGGTTCCCCCGCCTTCCTTCAGCAGTGGTGGCAGCACCAGGGAGCGTCTGGCCTGGAGGAAACGAGCTGCAGCTCCTGGAAAGCCGGACTCTCTCCTGAGGAAGACACTTCACTTGGCTCCTGTGTGGACCTAACTGTGACTAACTGTCTCCTCAGTGGCTCTTGGTAGGCAACCAACTTCTGTCAGTTTTTTTAAAAAAGGATTTTCAGCATAACCCCCTCCACCGCCCACTGTACTTTTTCCTCAGTGCTTGTTGCTAGGCAACCAGGTTCTGTCAGTAAAAGGCCATATCTGCACCTATTTCTGCCTTTGGGAGAAAACTCATTGGGGCCAGTCCTGATAGGGTTGCCAAATCCAGGTGGGAAATTCCTGGAGATTTGAGGGATGGAGCCTGGAGAGGGTGAGGTTTGAGGAGGGGTGGGACCTCAGACAGGTACAATGCCACGGACCCCACCCTCCAAGCCAGTCGTCCCCCATGGGGAACCACTGTTGCCAATCTCCAGGTGGGGGCTGGAGAACATTCAGAATTACACCTGCTCTCTAGGAGGGAGGGGGAGGAGATGGAAAGCTGAAGCCAGGGGGCAGATAACAGTAGGTTGACAATTGTCTGGGGGGGAGATAGGGTTGCCAACTCCAGGTGGGAAATTCCTGGAGATTTGAGGGGTGGAGCCTGGAAAGGGTGAGGTTTGAGGAGGGGTGGCAACTCAGACAGGTGCAGTGCAATGGATCCCACCCTCCAAGCCAGCCGTCCCCCATGGGGAACCATTGTTGCCAATCTCCAGATGGGGGCTGGAGAACATTCAGAATTGCACCTGCTCTCTAGGAGGGAGGGGGAAGAGATGGAAAGCTAAAGCCAGAGGGCAGATAACGGTAGGTTGACGGTTGGCTGGGAGAGAGATAGGGTTGCCAACTCCAGGTGGGAAATTCCTGGAGATTTGAGGGGTGGAGCCTGGAGAGGGTGAGGTTTGAGGAGGGGTGGGACCTCAGACAAGTTCAATGCCATGGACTCCACCCTCCAAGCCAGCCATTCCCTCATGGGGAACCATTGTTGCCAGTCTCCAGCGGAGGGATGGAGATCACACAGAATTACAACTGCTCTTCAGATGGCAGAGATCAGTTCCCCAGGAGTAAATGGTGGACTCTGTCATTATACCCTGCTGAGATCGCCACAGCAAATTGACGCTGAGTGCCCAAGGCTAGGGCACTCTCCCAGAGCCTCTTCCTAGAGCTCGTTGTATTTATTTCCACAACGAGCCTTATTCCTAGTGGCTATATATTTTGGAGAAGTGATACTTTTAAGAAGAACCAAAGAACTCCAAGAAACCTATCAGTGGGTATCACTGATTAATACCTATAAATAGTAACTATAACATATGGTTTTAATTTGTTAGACATGTACAGAATGATTCTGAGCCAGCATGACCATGATCTTTGCTAGGAGTTGCAGCAGTCTAATAATACAGCGCTGTGCGCTACAGTGTTTTAGAGGCTTTTTTTTGGGGGGGGATGGCTACAGGTAGGAAGAAAGGAAGAATGGTCTGCTCTTTTGCGCTTTTTATGCAGAGTCCAAATAGCCATCAGAACAGCTCAGTATTAAATAGTGCTGAATTGTGGTAATGCCTCCTTTGCATAGAATAGGATTCTGCTTTAGCTGCAGAAGCACAAAAGCTACAACAATTCAAATATCCTTGTAACTGGCTTATCCATATCCATCAGTCTATGATTCCATCAGGTTTTGTTAGTCACTTTTAATTATTTGTTGTGGCCTTGCACTTGTGTTTCTTGAATTCCAACAGTTATGTCACCTAATTCTCTTTTGAAACCAGTGAGAGTTTTAAAAGAAGTTTATGATGTAACAGGGGTGGGTGGGTGATCTGCTGTGCAAAAGGAGGTAAATCAAAAGGTCTCCTGACCTTGAGTGTTCATGAAGTTGTTCTTTGGGTCCTGTGATTTGGATCTGCAGTATTTGTCCTCAAACCAGTGAATGGAAGTCAGCTGATTTTTAACATACTTCTTGTGTCTATTTCCAGGCAACTGAAATTACCAAAATTACCATTTTGTTGTATGTGTTGCTCTTCAGCTAGTTTTTCTTTACAGATCTGAGTGTCACAATTCCCTTGAATTGAGAATGTAATATAATCCTTTTGATTGTTAATGAGCTACCAGTAAAAAAGCATGCATTTCATAGATAACTTTCAGCCAGTAACTACTTTAAAAATGTATTGTTTTCTCCAAAGTACTGTGCTGAAAACAGATATGGTCGGTTCTTTGGAAGTGTAAATTTTTCTTACTGCTTTTGCTGTATAGGAAGACAGCTTTGCAAGTTGAAATTCCAGCAAATGACCCTGAACATAATGACCAGATAAATCCATTAAGTGTGGAATTACCAAATGGGAATTTTATTGACATAACTGTAGAAGGAAAAAACATTGGTTTTATATGTCGTGTCAATTTCTGTTCCTCAAAGCCATTGTCTTGTATGAAGAATATATACTTTGTTGATGAACAAAAAACCAGGTATCTATGCTGATGTATTTTTAAAGGGTGAAGTCATTTAGAAAGTAATATAAGAGATACTATCTAGGAGGGGAAAATATCTTTCATAAAATCATACATTTGAAAATCAAGTAATTTTAGCTTGAAGACAAATGCCATCTAAAACTTCCATGTTTAAAATGACATACAGGTTCATACTATACATACAGAAAATTTTAGAGATAGTGTGATGCTGGCTTCAGGATTTTGATGGTCTTCTGGTTCTTTTCTTCCTACTATCCAAAACTAGGACCAAATAGGTCAAGGAGACTATATTACCCTTCTAATACCAGGGGTAGGCAACTCATTGGATTGTTGTTTGTTTAGAAAGAGAAAGGTAGCTGCAGGGAATGGCTGTGTGGCTCAGTATGGGAATCTGACCTGCAGCCAGTTTATCTTTGGTATCATGTGTAACTAATTGCTAGGGTTTTGTTGCTGCTTCAGTTTGTCTGTCACATTTGTATTCTGCTGTTCCTTCAAAGAACTCAAGGTGGAAGTGTGCATAGGTTTTTCATTTTAGCATAATGAACTGTGCAATCCAAAACATTGATTTTAATGGCCTTAGAAGGCTGTAACTCTGCACTATTAGAATCTTCATTGGATTTTAAGTATATTGTATTGGCTAGAAAATAATGAATTGTAGTTTCAGTGAAAGTTGTGGTGTTCTTAGATTCCCACTTAAGGTTGCTACAACAGCAGAGAACTGCCTCCTTACTGTGTATCCATATTTGGCATGCCACCTTAAAGACCAACAAATTATCCTGAAAAGTGGTGAGCAGATAATGTTTTATCTATTTTCAAGCTACTGTGAGGGTAGCATCAATTTAAAAGATATGGCTCATGCATTCAGCTATTTTTCATATTTAACCAGTCCTGTTGAGAACATCTAATTGCCTTTATGACAGCTTTTAAATTGTGCCCCCAGTGGAAGCAGGTGCTTTTGGTTTGGGGGTGGGAAGATATGACTACAAGTTAAAAATATCTAAAGCTACACCTTAAAGGATAACCAGGATCACTGCAACAAAGACTGATAAAAACCAATTAGATTGGACATGAATAAAATTTAGAATGGATCCTGTGAGCAATAGTAATTGACTGGCCAACTGAGTAAGTTATCCAGGGAAGTTGAGATCTCCTACTTCAGAGGATTTGAAGATGAAGAATATTTATTTGTCTGTTTGGGTTCAGTTAGGTAAACCTTAATGTATCCTAACTCTAACTTTCGCATAGTTAAAGATAGCCTACGTAACATGCTTGTTTGTGTTACTTTGGGTGCTTGGACCCTAAATCCTTAATTTATTGATATACAACTGTAGTTTGCAGGGGGAAATACAAATGATATTATTTGCGTATTGATTATAGGTAGTAATATAAAACATGTATGGTGATTTCCATTGTGTTTTCATCAAACTTGCAGATTCTAATGAGATAATTTACAGCAATGGAGAAAGTCTGCAACATCCATGCTACATTCCAGGAACTTGTTCCCATACAAATTCTTCCAGTAACTTTGGCACCATTACCAACTCTACCTATGAAAATTCCATAGCAGGTATAATTTGTTTCCCCCCCCCACACACACAGCAAATAAAACTGAATTAGACATTTTTCAAATGCTTTGTGTAGACTCTAAAATAAAAACAAAGGCCAATTTTTTGAAAAGTGCTGTCAGTTAAGAAATATTGCTTTTTGTTAGAGCAATTGTAGACGAGAATACTGGTTTAATGTTATACAGTCAATTTGGATTTTCCTTCTACAGTAAGATAGTATTATTCACTGAACTGTTCCTTAGTTTCTTCCAAAGAATGAGAGAAACATTTACGTCACATACTCCAGGATCCCAAGTTCATATGTTCCACAGAGATGGATAGATTACACGGCAATGTAAAATGAACAGAATCCATGCCAGTGATCAGGATTGTATTGGAGAAATGCTGATATATTTGTAATTGGATGTTCTACTGTATCCATTTCTGGTGTGAAATCATGAATTCTGTTTGGTCTGATAGTTAAAGTTTTCTCTGGTTCTGATAATTGTTTGGTTTGGTCTGATAGTTAAAGTTTTCTCTGTGGTAAAGAAGTCATTAATCAAGGGCTAGTCACTACAGTATATTCCAAACACTTCATTATAGGGCAGTGTAAAAGAATGTGAAAGATCTTATTTATCCTTTCCAAAGTGATCAGTTTTAACTAAATTAAATTATTTTTGTGCAGAATTTGAAAAGGAAGTTGAAAATGAAAAGCTGAAGAAGAATGAAGCTATCAGCCAAGATGGCGCAAATCGGTGTTATTTTGACTTTTCCCTTTTTCCTGCAGAAGGCACAGAAGCATATGCCTTTTTACAGAAAGTTATCACAGCAGTCCAGAATTGGTTTGCTCTCTTTGGTTGGTCTAAAGGACCAAATCCTATTTCTATTCCACGTACTCTAAGATGGTAATCTTTTGTTTTCTCAGTCTATTTTCTTTTATTAAATGTAAACATGTTAATTAAATTGCACGTACAGTTATTTGCAGTGAGGTTTTACTGTGTTGCTGCTTGCTGTGTCCCCATTCTTAATTGGGGAGTTAGAGGAAAAAACATAAAACCACAGTATGAGCAGAACGAATTAAAGCCTTCTGAAGAAGTCAAGAATAGATGAAATAGGATGCGGTTTTATGGATGTATTGATTTAGCCTGGAGGCGGACTTACTCATCCATGCCTGTTTAAAACCTGGAGATCTGGGCAGAACATGTTTGATCTCTACTGGTCAGGTTGACTAAAAACATTGGTCTTAATTAGGACCCAAGTATAATTTCTCTGGGCCCAATTTCAAACTTGCAAAATCCCCCCCCCCCATGACCCTATCCCATATGTATATAACTTCATGAATTATACAAGAAAAATGTTACTTTTATTTCTGAAATTATATCATGACTGTCAGACGTTTTGTATACCACCATTTAAAAATGTTTCAAGGTGGCTTGCAGTTAACACAACATGGGATAGTTTCAGGTGGGCAGCCGTGTTGGTCTGAAGCAGCAGACCAAATTTAGAGTCCAGTGGCACCTTTAAGGCCAACAAAGGCTTATTCAAGGTATGATCTTTTGTGTGCATGCACACTTTTCCAAATACATTGGAATGGAAGGTAAGAGACTCAAACTTATAGATAAACCTTTTCTTGCTCACAGACAGCCCCCCATCTCAAACAGCTCCTCACCCACAATAATGCAACATCTAATTTGAACATGGACACTGGGACCAGAACTTGCAGTAAAGTAAGATGCCAACTTTGCTGCCACATACACTCAGACAACACAATCACTGGACCTAACAGTATCAACTACACCATCAGAGGCTAATTCTCTTGCTCATCTTCTAACATTGTATATGCCATTAAATGCCAGCAATGCACTGGGCAAACAGGACGAACCCGACGCTAGAGGATAAATGGCCACAAGTCAGACATCAAGAATCACAAGACTGAGAAACCTGTAGGAAAACACTTCAACCTTCCAGGACACTTCAGCCTTCCAGATCCTGGAAGCCAGACTGGGACCACATTATCTGCTGTTGAGGCATGTTGTTGTTTAATGCAGATGTTTTAAATGATATAAGGATGATGATTTTATGGATTTTAAATGGAGTATTGTAATGTTTTTAATATTATAAATCTGCATTAACTGCAGATACATATATGTTGTTACACGCCCTGAGCCTAGAATGTGGGGAGGGCGGCCTGTAAGTCTAATGAAACAAACAAACAAATAAATAAATAAATTTGCTAACTCATTTAGTCCTCACATATGTATTCTCAACAAGAAGGACCGATAAGTCCTCTGTATTTTAGTGTATTTCTTTTTCAGAATACTCTATTAGAATACTGAATGTAATGCAGGGAATATTGGAATGTTTTGTTGATAGGATTCTGCACCCACTTCAAAGAAGAAAAAAACGCTGTTAAGTTACCACCATGCCTGAGAGGAGACAAACGGGGAATCTCAGTTTACTTCCCACAATTAAAGAAGATACCCTTAATACATTTATCTCCCATTTGACGTATTTATTGGTTTCTGCTTTCCCCCCTTAAATAAATCAAAACAACTGTTGACCTTGTAACCTTAGCTTCTTGTTTAGTTTTGTCTTTGCATATTTTAAAACATCTTCATCATGTTACATGTTAATTTGCTGTTCAGCCTCTGTCTATAAGTTTGAGCTCTTACCTTCCATTCCAGTGTATTCAAAACAGTGTGCCTTGCACATGAAAGCTCATACCTTGATTAAACCTTTATTGGTCTTAAAAGTGCCACTGGCCTCTAAATTTGTTCTACAACATGGGATGATAGCCAATAACATAAAACTTTTTAGAATCAGAAAATGTGTAGATCAAGACCTGTGCCAGGGCAGGAGATGAATTAAAAAGATTGTAGGAATTAAAAAAAAAAGTATAACAGGCACCCAGAGGCTTACATGATAATACAGTCGTAATAATTGTCTTGTAGCCTGGGCATGGTGCCTGTTTTCTACCTTCTCCCATTATTAAGCCTTCAGCTAAGTGAACCAATCCACTATTTGTCCTTTCACTAACTATGTGGTTTCCTTGAGTGTCCATCCCATGGACTATAGAAGACATCAGACAGAGGCTGTATAGGTTTGTACTTTCCCTTTCCTTTGATCTGAGAGCATGTAGAAATTTTCAGTTCCCAAAGTGCTATAGTCTTATCCTGATGTAAGCTTTTTACATAAAGCGTGAATGGTTAAGACCTTGGCAAATGATCGGCAAATTAAAAGAAGAAAGTTTTATCCATGAATTGATAGTTTTTTGAAACACCTTGAAATTAATAGTGTAATTTGGCCTAGATGCTGCTGGGCCATAACATCTTTGCTGAATTTACCTACCCATGCAGGGATGATATTCAGACTAGCAGTATTGAACAAACGTTTTTAACAGCATGAGATAAGAATACTACATTATATTGAATCAAAAGTTTATTATAGAACTAAGATGGCATATTCTTGTAGGACTATTTTTAAAATGTTTTGTTTTAATATGTTTACTGCCATAGGTATTAACAGTACAATCCTATGCTGTCATTTCAGTCTGATTCCATTGAAGTAAATGATTTTAGAAAGGGATAACTCTGCACAAATTGCACTTTAAATTACCTAATAGTACACAGATGGCTTCAAATTTAGCTGTGATGCATGTCTCATAGAATTTTATGTTCAATGTCTGAGACTTTTTAATTCTTAAGGGAGGGAAAGACAAAGAATCAACTATATATATATATATATATATTTGCCCCATGCTGTTTTCCTGGGTGTCACTGTTTGCTCTACCAAAGGAAATGTACAGGCAGCCATTGGTACATGCAGTTTCTGCAGTGAGGCGATATATATATATATATATCTGTGTTTGCTACATAAATGTTTTAATGTTGGTTTGCATTTAATAATAAAATAATGTTTTATCTCACCCAGTGATGTCTGTAAAATTCAAATGACTTCATGTGATGAAAAAGTTAAACAAAACCTTGGCAAAGATACCAAGACCATTTATGACATGCTTCTCCACCTGAGTGGGCAGTTGCTTCCTGGAATTTCTTCAAGCCAGTCCTTGCCATTTGATCCCACTCAGCGTGTGGTGCAGCTCCACTGGCAGCATTCCACGATGATCACTTTTCTCAAGTAAGTGTTTATTTGGGAGTGTTAACACTCTTTAAAGGATTTTCTGAAAAAGTTTAATACCCATTCCAGATTAACATTTTCTCTTTTAATTAGTATATGTTTTTATTCATATGATTAAAGCACATTCCATTTACAACAGTATGCAACGTGCTTTCTATTCCATTAAGTTCTTTTGGAGTTCTGTTGAAGTCAAGGGTACCTTTGGTTGCAACCCTGCACCTGTATCTCTTGGTGGTGGTGGAAAGTGCCATCGAGTCACAGCTGATTTATGGTGACACTGTAGGAATTTCAAGGCAAGAGACTAACAGAGGTGGTTTGCAGTTGCCTAATTGCCTGCCTCTGCATAGCATCCCTGGACTTCTTTGGTGGTCTTCCAAATACTAACCAGGGTTGATTCTGCTTAGCTTCCAAAATCTAATGCGATTGGGCTAGCCTGGGCCATCCAGGTCAGAGTGCCCTTATCTCTTACTACTGGCTTATTGCAGTGATGTTTCTGAGGGCTGATTCACACATTATGAAGTTCTTATCTCCCCCTGTCTCCTACATGGCTGCTGCAAGGACTTTTGATTGAATGTGTGCTACATGGAACTTAATTCCTAGGCCTCTGTAAGAAGAGGAGGCTTATGTCTCCCGCCCCCATGCTGTTTTCCTGATCTGAAATGGCTCTGGGGGCCACTGTTTACTCTACCAAAGGAAATGTACAGGCAGCTTGCTCCCCTCTTTCTATTTATTGTGCCCCTCTTCTCTTGGGGGTGTAGGAAGTACAGTGAGTACAGTGATTACTGATCTGCTGCCTTTACGCCACTTGTTTTCTCTGAGTTGATTTCCCCTCCCCACAGCCTTGGAGCAAAGGAATGCCTCTGGCTTCTGTGTTTTGCAAGCTTTTTTCTTTCTATTGATATTCAGGAACTGCTGCTTGGCTTGTGTTAACAGTGAAGCTAATGCAGAACATGGAGATCCAAGGGAGGAAAGAGCTTGTCTCTTGCCATTGCTCTTGCCTGTGTGTGGGATTTAATTGCCCAGTTTTGTCAATGAAGTTTCATTCTGGAAGGGTCGGCAGGAGAGGAGCTGCTTAGCCCTATGTTGGGTTGCCCTTCCAGTGGATGCGTGAAGCTGCTTGTTCGGAGAGGATATCAAGGAGTTTCCTTTTCTTCCTCTGTTTCTTTCTGTTTTATTGGAAGATGCAAGGGAGAGCAGCCTGATTAACATTCTGGGAGGGCCCAGGGATGAGTATTACCAAAGCTCCATGCAAGGGGATGCAGAGGGAGGGCTGGGTTTTAGCAGACAAAGGTTATGCATTTTCTATTGCCCATGACACACTCCACATCTGTGCAACCCAACACCAGAGTAATGCGCTCTGTAGCTCCTAGCCCGTGAGCTCCTACACTTAAGTATTAACTTTATTGTAACACAATAGGCTTGTAGCTCCCTCTTCTCCACTGCACCTGTGCTAGGCACAGCTGCCGCTCAAGGTAAGCAGGAGTGATGTCAGGGAGAAAGAACTGACAAGTAAACTACTATCGACCTTGGAGCTCTAGCAGCTGTAGCAGTGGCAGCAGCCAAAGTTGGACAGATCCACAGGGAGGGCACCTACCTAGCCATTAGTTAAATTACTGCCCCTCATGCATCCCAGAAAAATTCCTAGCTACGAGCCTGTCATTGAGAAACTCTTGGCTCTGAATGTTAGCCTGGATACCATCCAGGACCTGGGCCTCCATGCAGCATTTACTTTGGTGAGAAATCCTGTAAAATTGATTGCTCACTGATTTAATTGATCTGCTTTTGGAGTATGCCACACCTGTTTATCCCAATTTCTTGGTATTCCCCCTTTGAAATCTCTTCCCTCCTATACCTACCTGTTGACTTCCCAAAGCCTTTTAAGAGCATTCATTCTGGTCTAATTAATCCCCCCTTTCCTTGGCAGTCATGAAGGGAAGGTTCATATGTTTACCTTATTCAGAATGAATCTGCCCCTGCTCCTTAGATAAGATCCACATGATTGTGCATAGTCTTTTGGGAAGTCCTTTATATGCTAATCTCAGGAGGCATTATATTTCACTGTGTTTACCAGTTCATTCTGATATATATTCTTATGATCTAGTTACATATCTACTTGCTGACAGAGATCCAAGAACTGTAGCAGATGCATTTTTTTTACTTCTTTGTCTATAAGGTGATTAACTACAACTATTCACTGCTCAAGATTGATGTATCATAGTGCTTTTATTGGATGAAAGAAAAGGAAAGGAAAAAGTATATTTTCTCATTTCCCCCCACAGTAATCACATTGCATGATTTGTCAACTCTTCTTGCAAATAAAATAAAACCTAGGCACCCACCCTCCTTATAAAGGCTTGGATATTTGAGTAGGATTATGGTTCCTTTGTAAAGCTGCTACCTCTGTATATGTAACAATGTAACTGGTAATACGTTTATGGTATTGGACTGGGGCACCTTCAGTGAGGTGCTGTCTCCAACTGAAACAAACATTGGGAATGGGAAAGGGAGAGGCTCTCCTCCGATTCACAAGGCTTCATACAAAGGATAAAAAACAGCACTTTAAGAATGAGATCCTTCAGTATAGGGTTGCCAGCTCCCCCACTCTGCCTCCAGCCACCAATCAGCTGACTGGCAGGGGGACTTACCAGGAGCAGGAGAGAGACCTAGGCTATGTTGCCATGACATGATGGTGTCATTTCTGGCATGTATCGGAAATGATGTCATCACGTCAGCGGTGTCATGGTGATGCTTTGGTATTTGGGCAAAAACTCTATTGTAGAAGCCATTTTTATCGTAGAGTTTTTGCCCAAATACCAGAGCATCATTGCAGCATCACAATATGATGACATCACTTCCAGTATATGCCAGAAGTGGCCACCACATAGCTGGCGATGTAGCTTGGGCCTCCCTCCCACTCCTGGTAAGTCTCCCCCCCCCATCCCCTGCCGGTTGCCAGGCAGTTATGCTCTGTTTACACATTGTTGTTATCAAGCTTTCATTTTGTTGGCCTTTCTTTCACGCCCATCTTGGTGCTGAGAATAGCTTTGTCAATTGCATGATGCCTTGAAAATAAGTGTCTACTGTCTACAATACAAAAGCTGAGAGTCAGCAGAAACAAGGAAGGGACTGGGCATAATTCTGCATGATCTTGGTTACTAGGCAACCTCAGAAAGAAACAAGCCTCTGTCTAGTTTTCTGACCATTAATTAGGATCATTCAAGGAGCATTTAGACATAGTAGATCCTACTACATTAAAGTTCCTTCAGACAACTTTTAATTTATGGATTTTTCTGCAAACTTGGATATCCCCCACATTTGTACAAATATCTCTTTCATGTCTACATGGCCTGCTTTCATGACAACATGGATTTAAGTATCCACTGATGAGGCCATGTTGACTGATTGATATATTGGTATTTACTGACCGGTGGACGGGAGAGTAAAAATGTTTTATGAAGTCTAAGAATTAGAAATTAAAGTCTTAATTTCCCATGCCTATTACTTATGTACCAGGAAATTATACAGGAAGTGATTTGTTCCTAAATTGGAAGTTCACAGTAAGCTTAAGTAAAGTTTCTCCCAATTCCTTTGAGTGCAGCTTTCACTTCACTTTTTGAAATTGCATTGTTCCCACCTTCTCTTTATTTTGCCCCTTTCAGTTAATAGGGATACCATTCCCCAGGTGAGGGCGGGGATCCCCCACTTTTACAGGCTCTGGCCAACACTGGTCAGCTGGCCTGCAGGAGGAAATTCCTCCCACCCCGACATGGTGCACAACACACTGACATCATGCAGAAATGACATCAGCACTTTTGTGGCGTTGGGGGACACTCTCTGCTTTTTGGGCAAAAGGATCCCCCACTTTTACAGGCTCTGGCCAACACTGGTCAGCTGGCCTGCAGGAGGAAATTCCTCCCACCCCGACATGGTGCACAACACACTGACATCATGCAGAAATGACATCAGCACTTTTGTGGCGTTGGGGGACACTCTCTGCTTTTTGGGCAAAACTCTATGGATCTTCTTCGTGGTCTCTGTGCATCACACCCTTGGGAATACTGCGCCTGCGCTGAACCTTCTCGGTACCGGTAGCTAGCAAAAGGGATTTTCGCGCCTCTCCCAGGTCACGCGCCGGCTCCACTGCGCATGACCAAGGAGGGGCACGCAGATCCCGCCAGTTCTTTTCTGACCGCCACCCTGGTAGGACGCCTTCTGCCTCGGTCTGTTAAGTACCAAACTTTTTGCTAAACTTGCGTTTAGTTAGTTTCCTTTTCTTTATTTTTGTAGTTAGCATTTTTCTTCGGTGTGCTTGTTTCTTGTTTTTACGTTTCCACCCCGCTGGCCTATGGCCCCGCGGTGGGGTTGTTTCAAACGGTGTAAGACTTGCGGCCTTAAAATATCCCCCACCGACGGGCATTCGCTTTGCCTCGTCTGTTTAGGGGAGTCGCACTGTGTTTCTAAGTGCAGACATTGCCAAAAGTTTTCGAACCAGACGAGAAAGAACAGGGCAGCTCGTCTGCACTTAGTTTTGATGGAGAAGGCCCTCTCTCCACAGTCCTCTTCGCCGTTGGATACGTCCGGACACGCCTCGATGTCCACCCTGGCTGCGGACACTTGTCCTCCCGTTTCGGGACCATCGACGTC